TCCACAAATATGGTCCTTAACGGGGTTAACAAGAGGTATGATTGCAAGGGTGTCAAGGGTTGAGGCTGGGTTGGCCACTAACGAATGACAGATGCTCTTTATTAACCCCCCTCCCTCCCAGAAGGTGACAAAGGACCTTTAAACCAGGACAAAAGGGGTTGGCCACCTCCTGATCTCCTTTTCCGTTCCACTTTTTCCCTCCTCCCCCAAATCTCAGTGCTGCCTGCAAGCCCCCCCACAATGGCACCTCATGCATCACCAGCCAGAGCCGAGCCCAGTGCCTGCCCCTGCCTCATTAACAGCCATTCGTATTTCAAGCAGGTTCAAGATCACTTGTAGCCAATGAGACATGGCAAAGGAGAGCTTTTTGGGAGCTGGACACCACCAAGGGCAGCATTAGAACCCACCAGGGCATTTCCAAGCCCATTCCATCCCTACCCATCACAGCAATGTCTTCCAGCATCTCACCCAAACCCCTCCACTTCTGCAAAGTGCAGCTGCATTGGCGCTGGTGTCCTCCAAGGGGACGGATCCAGCTGGGGAGGCTGTGACTGCTCCCCTCCTGGGGACACCATCCATCCCCATCGGGGACAACAGCTCCAATGGCTGAGCTCCTGCCTTTGGGAACACCACTCTCAGGTGGTCACGGCCGGATTCAGCCCAGTAAGGACCAAGCCCAAGGCTGTGAGGACACCATCACTCCAGCATCCCCCAGATAACAAGAATCCAGGAAAGCCCCAATTCCAGCCCAAAATGAATCCTGTCCACCTCCTGCGCTGACAGCTAAGACTGCTGAGGACATGTAAGCCCTCCCGAAACTTACAGCGTCAGACATCACACAAGGAAAAATTCATATAAAACCTGTTACCAGGATAGGAACTGGCTCATCACCACCCCCAGGACAGCGGTGGAGACACTTCCCGGGGCAGGGGCACCGCACAGCCCTCACAGCGCCCTCAGTCAGGGCCTGTCCCACCTCACCCTAGCACAGCACGGTGAACGGAGACGGGTGGGGAGGAACGAGCAGGAATTTGGGGGCATGAAGGCTTTTCCTTTTGTTTAATAGTTTGTGCCACTTAAGTAGAAGTTGCTGCAAGTGATTCCCCAAGGGAAATGTCACTCTGCTGTGACCGAGAAGGGTTTAAGGGTGTCTTGGTCCATGGGTCAGGCATGGGAACACGCTGGGACAGCTCAGACATGGGGCAGACACCAGAGTGTGCAACCCCCAGCTATGCCCTTCTCAGCCAGGAGCGTGTCAGGAGCCCCTGGGATCGTATCTCGGAGGAAAAGAGGTCACCAGCCACCAACACAGGGCTGAGCCTCCCTTGCACCCAGTTGGGACGCTCCATGACTGTCACTTCTCCTCCTCCCTCGCCATGTGGGACTCCACCACTTGCCTTCACCCAAACACCTCCCCAGGGCAGGGCGATAACCCCTTGGCAGGGTTTTCCAGCAGGTTTTGTGCAGAATTAGGCTCCCTGGGAAGGCACATCTCACCGGGGACAGTGCTGTCCCAGGCAGCCCCACAAGCAGAGGATGCAGCAGGGGAAGCTGGGGGTCCCCACGGGGCTCAGCACTCCATGAAATCCCAAGCACAACACAGCAAACTTCACCCACGAGTGCATGCTCACAGGGAAAGTGGTTCCTTGGGGCTTGGCCCTGGATAAACTCCTGTG